GTCTTAGGTTCACTCTGGTATTTCACCCCTCTTCCTTGAAAATTGCTCCCTGTCGCACCACCAAACGTGTCCGTATGCTGGGCTGAGCGTTTCGCTGTGGACGCTCTTCAATGTACTGTCATGAAGCTACAACGCTCCAACAGTTTTACGGATGAAAGGTCGGCGATGTCCAAAATGCGGCGGTCGCCGCAGCGCCGAGAGCATTCGCGGTTAAACGCTTCCAACTGATCCAAGGATGGAGGGCAACATGTTTTAGAAATGCGGCTATCGTAAGGAAACTCCTTGAATTCTGTGGCCCACAGTTGCCAGCATTACATCAATTCTGCTTGTGGAGGGCGGCTCCTTTTCAGTGTGGGGGTCTCGCTTGAGACTTCCGCAAACGTAATGGTCAGAGCTTTAATGCTGTGTACCCCTTGCACGGATGGGGGGCGTACTGATTCGTTTCAAGATGTGGATATCGCTGGACGCTTCCTTCAGCCTTGTCAGCCCAACTTGTTCCGCAACTTCTGGCTGGAAGGATGGAGGGTGGATCCTTTCCAAAACAGGATCCCGCCTGAGTGGCAGTCCCACCAAGCGCTCGTCATCAAAGGGGGGCGCTTCCAGCAACAGAGAAATGCCTGTTGGGACCCATGTGGAGGGGGACGTTGGACCAGAGGGTGTATTGCGGCATCCTTGATGCATCCTGGATTTACTCTAGTCCTCTTCCTCTTCTTCCTTCTCCGCCTCCTCATCCTCCTCGTGTCCGTGCCCGTGCCCCCCCCCCCCCCCCGCACCCACAAGAAATGGCCCCAGAAGAGTCCTAAGTCATGTAGGCGGAGGTTGGCTTTATGTTTCGCGGACGGGCTGAGCACGACAAATGACGACGAGGAGAACGAGGAGGAGGAGCAGGAGGACGACGATGGCGAAAGGGGGCGGCGGAAGAGGCGGGGACAGAGGTGCCTCCTGCAATATTCGCCCCCCGATCGTCCTCCGTTCTCACCCTCCACGTTTCCTCCTCCTCCTCCACCTGTTCTTCTTCTCGTTCTGTTTCGACTTCTTCTCATTCTTCTCCTGGGAAGAGCGTCGGGGTTCCCAAAGCCGTGGTGACGGACCGCGCGGTGACCTCGAAATCCCAGGAGATCTCACCGCGCGGTTCGTCACTGCTCGCTCTTGGCACCTCGGAGGCCCCGGTAGCCCGCGACGTCCTCGGAGAATGGCCCGGGTCCTAAAACTGTGCGGTGACCCCGAATTCCCACTCGAACTCACCACGCGGTGTGGTGACCACACCGTTTGGGGCCCCCCGAGAGTGGCGGCGGGCATGGCCGACGGCCACCCCCCGACCAGGGCCACAAGACTTTACCCGAGGGCTGGCACAGGCCAAATTATCAGGGCAACGTCATCTTACACATCACCTGGGCTGTCATTGTAAGGGGAGACGTCCTGTCCTGTCCGCTCCGCTCCGCAGAGGACAGGACGTCCGACCTGTCTCCCGCGCCGCGCGGGCGCGGATTCCGCTGAACCTCTGCCACAGCGCCTCAGACGGCAAGGAGGAGCGGCAGTGCTGGCCAAGCGATGTGCGCCGCAAGTGAGCGGGCACGCTCGGAGTGTCGGAGGAAGGCCAGCCGAGACAATGGCGGCCCTCCCGGGCGTCTTTCGCCGCTCTTTTACATCCTGGGGGCTCCTCGCTGCCACGGCTGCATCCGCCTCGGCAAACGCGTCAAGAATGGACCCCGGGATGTGTCCAGGGGTCCGGCTTTGAACTTATTTATTGGAGACGGGAGGGCGAGCCGCCAGTGTCTGAACTGGCCATCCTCCGGGAGCGAGCTTCCTGGAAGCACCGCGGGCCACGCGGTGGCTGCCCGCCGCGAGCGGGCCCGCCTGAGGTGAGCTTCCCGAGGACAGCCCTGCCCACGCGATGTGCCTCAGAAGCGAGCGGGCACGCAACGGGGGGGGGGGCACGCGGGGCTCACGGGAGGGAACACCACCGAGGGCGCTGCTGGGCAGGCCTGGTCAGGGGAGAGAGCTGGCTGCTGGCACGTGCGCGGCAGGTGGGCAGCGACCGCGCTGCTGGCCCCTGGGGCGCTCCTTCAGGAAGCGGGGTGCCAGCTGCTTGTCCACGATCCTCGGCGGGCCGGACTGGATCTCCTGGGGGCAGGGAGGGCCAGGGAAGCGCGCGGGCAGCAGGAAACGGGAAGGCCTGCTCCGACTCACCACCTCCGCCTGCTCATGCTTCTTCCTCCCCGTCCTCGTCCTCCTCCTCCTCCTCCTCCTCCTCCTCCTTGTGTTCCTGCCGCGTGGCCTGACCTAATCCTCCTCGTGTTCCTCCTTCTCTTCCTCCGCATGCTCCTCCTTCCCCCGTTCCTCCCCGTCCACCTCCTTGAAGTAACAGACACCTGCGGGATGTGTGGGATGGATGGGGGGTGCGATGGGGGAAGGGAGAAGGGGAAGGGGGAGGGGGAGGTGCAGGGGCAATGCACGGAGGAGAGGGAAGGCGGGTGGGCGAGCTGGAAGCGGACGGGGGCGGAGGCGGGAGAGGGGGGCATGTGCATGAATATGCTCGACGCTACCGCGCGGCCCTTTTCTTCTGAAACTGAGCCCTGCAGTGGCGAAGAAGAGTGCGGGAAGCGCTGGGCCAACCTCGCCAGGGGCGACGAACGAGCGTTAGGGCGTCGCGTGGGCAGGGCCACGCGACGGTGCAGGGTTTGGGCGTTAATTCGGGGACGTGCCCTTTTTGGGCCCCAGGAGGCCCCTGTAGGATATACAAAGACACCCTTTTTTGTTTTTTTTGTTCTCTCTCTCTCTCTCTCTCTCTCTCTCCCCCACCCCATGACTCGACGCCCGAAGGGCTACGCCATCGTGGTCCCCGATCGAAGCGCAAACCCACGCACCGCAGGCACCGATCTCCTATTTCAAAGCCCTGTCGGGTCGCGCGCTGGGTCGTCGGCGGGTCGCGCGGGCGGGGGCGCACAGTGTCATTCTCTGGGGCCTGTGCTGAATCGCCCGCCGCGGGCGCCGATCTGTTGTGCAACGCAATGCGGGCTGGTCGCAGTGTGGGACGTCGGCAAATCGAGGGCGGGTCGCAGGCGGGGTCGCGGCGGGTAGGTCGCAGAGTGGCGATGACAATACACCGTGACACAAAAACAACCCGCACCGCTGAACCCTACTTGAGCCACGCACCCAGGGGCAACGTCGAACCTTCCGGCCCTGCTCTGATTTCTGCGCCCTCGCGCATGACGAAGCTCTTGCGACGCAAATCCAGATACCATGTGCGTTTCCTTCGCACGGTTGACTGGCATATGTGCGCACAGGCGGTGCGCAGCCACGCACTTGGCGAACCAGGCGGCGCAGGCGGCAGCCCGCGACGGGCTAGGGCAGCCCACCCTGGCGGCACATGCACCGCGCCAACGCCACCCGCACCCCAGCAACCTCTGGGCAAGCCAAGGCGTGGTCTTCGGAAACGTAGCAAGCAGCAGGAACCAAAGGGCGTGGAGGGGGTGGAGCGCCCCCGCCTGACGAAGAGACCGCTCCACTGCGGCATTGCAATGAAGCGGCGCGCTCCCGCGAAGAGGCGGAGTGCACGTCGCCGAGAGGCGCGTCCACAAGATCGCGCGGCGGGCTCGCGGGCGGGGCAGGGCCCGCCGCGGGGAGGCCAGCGCACTCCGGCCTGCTGAAGAAGCCGTTGAGCCGAGGGCGAAGCCGAAGCCGCAGTCGTGGGGCCCGCCTCGGGCGCGGGCGCGGCTGCATGGCAGGCCGCCAAGAGGCGCTGACGAAGCCCCCTAAGGCTCACCAATGCCTCGCGTCGTGAGAGAAGAACACGACGTAAGGATTCTGTTCCGTCATTTTCAGCCTCTGGGGGTCCTCGCTGGGCCCCAGACCGTCAAAAACGACCCAGCATGAAAAACCCGCACATGCGGAAAGGGTCGAGACTTTCGGGGACCCCTGAGACCCAGGGGGGGCCTCCTAGGAGGGCCACTCAGTGATCCATCAGTCTCAAGTGCAGAACGCCTGGCGTCCCGAGCGCCCTGCCTGGGGGATGTGATGACCTGGCTTCCCATCTCCGCGGGGGAACGGGTTTAGCGCAGGCGGGATGGGCGGGATTGCAGCAGTGTTTTCTGACCTCCGCAGCCATTTGCCTCAGAGGCCCCTCGCAGGGCCGTGCTAGTAGCACGCTGCGAACTGTGCAGAAGCGTTGAGTCTAGGACAGAACATCACTGGGCGCCCAATGTTCGCGCCCCCTGGCCCACCGAAGTGAGGGTGCGACCGCCGGAGGGCGGGGGGCCACTGGAGGCGCCTGCGAGACCGCCAGGAGATCCAGGGTCATTGCGCTGCGGGACACCTGGCCTCCCAACCGACTCGCCCGCGGGACGCCCGGTGGCTCCCATTCCGCGGGGGCTCGGGAGCGCCTCAAGAGCGCGCCCCCGAGCCCGCCAACGCGCCCGCGCGGCGCCGCAGAACCCGCGGGCGCCGTCCCAGACGCAATCATTGTCGTCGGCGCTCGGCCACCGCGGAGACGATAATAGAGGAATAAATACGGCATAAACATACACTTTCGATGCCCCCTGTGCGGGTTTCTTGGATCTGCGCTGGACCCCGCTGGCGGCGCCAGAGGGAAGAGGTGCCAAGAAACCTGCGCGGAGCTGCAAAAGCTTATGTTATTGGTTTGTCTTCTTCGAGATACAGGGTCGCGAGCTGGATCCCGACGCCGCGTCTGAGGGAAGGACGCGACCATGCAGGTCGGAGGGCCCCTAACGGGAGTGGTGAATGGCAAAACCAGCACGAGCCTACGAAGGGCAATCCCACAAGACCACTCGGGTGGCATGCTCGGCCGCGCCGCTAAGACCAAAGACGGCCCAGAGGACCTGGCAGGCCGGGAGCGCGGCAGGGCAACCCGCTGCCAGAGCCGCCTGCAAGTGAGGTCCACTCCTCGCGGTACCGAAGAGAGCGCAAATTTGAGGAACGAAAAGGCTCGCCTCGGCCACGAGCAGGTTCCGCGACCTAGACCTCCTCCTCCTCCTCCTCCTCCTCCTCCTCCTCCTCCTCCTCCTGCTCCTCCTCCCCCATCCTCCCCTCCTCCTCCTCCTCCTCCACCTCCTCCTCAACCTCCCCCTCCTCCTCCTCCTCCTCCTCCTCCTCCCCTCTCCTCAACCTCTCCCTTCTCCTCCGCCTCTTGCTCCTCCTCCTCCTCCTCATCCTCCTCCTCCTCCTCCTCTTCCTCCTCCTCCCCTCCTCCTCCTCCTCCTCCTCCTCCTCTTCCTCCTCTTCCACCTCTTCCTCCTCCTCCTCCTCCTCCTCCTCCTCCTCCTCCTCCTAGGGAACGGCCCGAAAACCAGAGCCCCTCCTGAGCCCAAAGAGGTCAGTATTTCAGCGCCGTGCCTGCAGTGCATGATGTCGTCCGCGGCGCGCTCGCAGCCCTGAACAGGTCGGGCCATGGCCGCGCGATGCGCCCGCGGCCAGCCGCCGTCCACGCCTCCTCCCAGCACCTTGAGAGAGCACCCAGCCGTCCCCGTGGAGAAGGCGGTTGGCAACTCATTACATCTGGACGAGGACGTTACCATGATAGTCGCCGACCCCTTGGGGGGGTCCTCGGCATGTGGGAGAAGTGAATGCTCCTCCCGAAGCCCCCTCCTCTGGAGGCCAGGTCGGGCGGTTTTGGAAGGGGGGAGGTCCTCGACAACACAGCCAGCAGTGCAAAGGGGTCATCTGCTTCAGACGTGCCCCAAGACGCCCCCAAATGACCCCACATGGCTCTAGATGACCTCCCAAATCGTACAGGATGGTCGGACTTCGTGGCCACTGGCCTTCAAGATGTGTCCACGATGCCTGAAGACGGCCTCAGGATGGTTCGAGATGGCGAAGAAGTTCTCCAATAACGCCTCAAAGAAATCCAAACCATATCAAGTTTCTAAAATCTTTGTGATGCTTTGGCATGCTCGGCTTCTCTGTCTGGCGAGTGCAATACGGCCCAAGAGGCTCTCAGGTCGCCCACAGACGGCCCGAATGGGTCGCCAAGCGCCCCAAGAGAGACTCCTGAGTGTCTCAAGACGGCTCCATGAGACCCCGAAAACGGCCAGAGGGCCTCCGGGTGGCCCAAGATTCCCACAAAATGGCCTCCAAACGACTCCAAGACGCCCTCAACACGGCTTCAAAACGGCCCCGCGAGAGCCACAAGACGGCCCTCGAGGGCCTCGGCAATGAGGCCAACAAGACAGCTCAAGAGCGATCGCCCAGACGTTCTCTCAAAGGCCGCGGGCCGCCCCAAGACGCGCACCCTAAGCAGCATCGCTTCGCCTGGCGATGGCAACGCTACGGTAGATTGGTGGCACCTCTTCCTGCTCGGCGCTCCGATATCTGTGAGTTTGTGTGTATATATATATATATATATATAAAAAAAACTAGATATGTAGATTCAGGGGTGTGTGTGTGTATGTGTGTGCTTTTGTGCGCGTGCGTGCGTGCACGTGTGTGTGTGTGTGTGTGTGTGTGTGTGCGAATGTGAGTGTGAATGTGAATGTGAATGTGAATGTGAATGCGTGTGTGTCGACAAGCCGCATGTTGGGGCACTGGAGAGCTCCCGTCACCTTGCTTGAACAGATGTTTGCGAACGGCCACCGGATTTCGCCCTGGCCGGAGATGCCGTCATCGAGCTCGCGGTCGTCCTCAACATGATTAGATCTAGGAGGCCGCCGTGGTATCGGCGATCTTAAGTTGGTGCATGGCTAGATTGGTCGCCGTGCCGAACGCTTCCCCGCACATAGTTGTCGTACTTACTATCCGCCTTTCGACCCTGAACAGTTGAACCATCCTCTTCTGTTCTGGAGAAGATGGAGGAATCACGCTGACGAGGAACCCCGCTGCCCTGGAAACCATACCATACGCGGGGCAGCTTCGAGCCCCCGCGCTGGGTGTAGCCATCGCGGCCAGCGTGCTCCGTGGAATCGACGTCGGGCTCTGCGCCAGGAAAGTCTCGCGGAGCGGGGGCCACCTCCCACGCCCGAGTGGATCCGGCACAGCAAATCCTCTGCAGTCTGAGGTTAAAGGGAAATTAGGACACACAAATAAATACACACAAATAAAAATAGTCCCCATATTTTCTCGTATTTTCTGGGTTTTTGTCTTCCCCCCCAATTCCCATATTTTCCCATATTTTCCTGGGAATCGAGGATTAATTGTGTCTGTGTGTTTTTTCCCCTCCTGAGAGGTGGCGAATGCCCCGCAAGGCTGCGGCCGCGCCTCGCCCCCTGGCACCGTGCCCGGGCAGCGAGCTCACCAACTGTGGAGGATCACAAGGCCCACTGGCAGCTCGCTCGGCGCGCGGAGCGGCGCGCGGAGAGGTCGCTGCCGTGACCGTGGCTGCAAAAGGTCCGTCGTCACGGACGTATGTGAGCACCTGGATACGTGCGGCGTGGATGCAGTGGACGGCATGCCACGATGGCGCAAGCCACGTCTACGTGCCAGGGACAGGCGCAAGAAAGACGAACTATTCCCAAGGCTCGGCCAGGTTGTCTTCTTGATCGCCGTATCCCCGAAACGACGATGGTCGAACTGAATATGTGTTGCCCTGCATAAGGATACAGGGGGCTGGGCATGTGGGAAGTAATTCCCGATGATGGTGCGGCTGTCACTGTGCTTAGCTCGCTGGCAATGGTCCCCCGTTTCGAAGTCCCGATGGTGCGGAGCATTTCCCTCTCGAGCGTCGTGTCCCACAAATCGAAGCACACTTTCCTTGGCCGAGCAAGTTGACCAGGCTCCGCCCTGCCCTCCCGCCTATTGATGTGCGGACTAGCCGGTGGAACTCTTCGTAGCCAGTGTCTAGCAGCAAGCGGGCCTTGCGCATGGCGAACGAACCCATGAACGGCACTCCACATGATGATGACGGATTTTTGGACGGACGAACGGGGGACCAGAAGCGAACACCACCATGACAATGCAACGCTGTGGAGCAGGCATGAAACCACTGAGCATGCCTCGCCGAGCGCGCAGCTGGAAGAGTATGGGCCGGATGCCGAAGGCGAGATGCGAGAGGAGAGCGAGAGAGATAGAGAGAAAGAGAGAGAAATCAGAGGAAGACAGAAACTGCTTAAACATACGTAGGTCCGCGCAAATATCTTGGATCTACGCTGTACCCCCGCCCTGGCGCGCGGAGCGCGCCATGGGCGGCGCCGGAGGCGTCGCCAGGGGACTTCAGCGCCGACCCAAGGAATCTGCGTGGAGTTCCAAACGTTTACGGTTGTGCAATTGTTTCTCCTCCTGCTCCTTCTCCTTCTCCCCCACTCTTCCTCCTCCTCCTCCTCCTCCTCCTCCTCCGAGAGAGAGAGAGAGAGAGAACAAAAGAGAGAGAGAGAGAGAGAGAACAAAAAAAAAGAAGCGATGACGAGAGACAGACCGAAAGAGCGGGGGAGAGGATGAGGAGGAGGATGAGGCGAATGAGGAGGATGAGGAGGATGAGGAGGAGGAGGAGGAGGAGGAGATGGAGGGGGAAGAGAAGGAGGAGGAGGAGGTAGAGGAGGCAGAGAAGGAAGAGGACAGGAGGAGAAAGACCAGTGTAAACGCAAGACTCATCAACGATGTTGCAATCAACTCTCCCTCCAAGCTCTCTCCACTGAGGGAAGTGCCACATTGGAAGGCAACCGTTTGAAAACCCTGTGCCGTGCCAGAGCAACATTCCTGGGACTTCAAGGCAGCGAATCAACCTTACTGCCGCGGCTTGACGATCGTACACACTTGCAGTTCGGTTCTCATTAGAATCCAATAGGAGTCGAATCCCACCAGCCCTCTGGGCGCAGGTGGTCTAACGAGATTCCTCTTCCCTCTTCCAAACAACCCCTCTTCCCCTACAGGGAGGGGTTTGGACTTTTTCTGGGGGGGGGTCGCGAGGTGTCAGGGCGTCCAAAACGGCGTCGGCGAGGAAGCCAAAGTCACTGGTTTTACTAAGGCTGTGGCCCCATGTTGGCCTCATTGGGGGGGACCGAACGTGATACCATCTCCTCCTTTGATCGATGGCCTTCAAGATGGCCCCAAGAGGCCGTCCAGAGCTCCCAAACGGGCCCCAAGACAGCCCCAAGAGGGCCCCAAGAGGACTCCAAGACCCCGAAAAAACCCAAGGGAGCTCCAATACGCTCCCAAAGAGCCCCATGAGAGCCCCAATGGGCGATTTTGAAGGCTCCTGGGAAGGGCCCGGAATCGAGGACCTCCCATCTTTTGACCGATGCTCTCCTAGATGGCCCCAACAGGCGCTCCAGGGCACCAGCCGCAGCACCAGCAGAGGCAGCAACAACATCAGCAGCAGCAGCAGCAGCAGCAGCACCAACTGATGGTTGATAAATCCCACCAACCCTTTGGGCGAGCGGCTCCCAGGGATGGCCCGAAGAGGCCTTCCAAGGCCACTCCCTTGCTCCCAGAGACTTATCGGTTCATCCTGGTTTCTCGCTTTGTTTCCCTAGATGTGTCCTTTCGTCCCTTTTCCCGTCAGCTCTCCTGAGTGGGCTGGTGGGGATTTTTGTTTAGTCAGCGGCCGCGAGCGAGCGCGCCGGCGGCGAGTCCAGTCAAACCGGACTGGTGGGGATACTTTGTTTGGTCGCGGCCACGACACAAGGGTCACGCGGCGAAGGCAACGTCCGGGCCACGAACGCGGCTAATTGGCTAGGACAGGCGCGCCGGCCGGCCCACTCAGACGGCAGCTGCAGGCTGGGTGAAGCTGAACTGACTGGCGCACTGTAAGCTCGGGCACGTGCACAGGACAAAATGACCAGAATTCAAGCGGCCAATGCGAAACCCGCACAGGACCCGCGGACCACGGTGGGCAAGTGTACAAGGTGAAGACGAAATGGCCATTGGAGTGAGTCGCCATTGTGGCGCCAGGCTCCAAGCGGACGACCTGCGCAAGCCAAGCCCGCTGAGCAGTCGTGAGCCGAGGTGCAACGCACAGGGGAGGCTGAAGGTGGGCCTGTAGGACTGTACCTGTTGCGGAAGGCTGAACCACTCAGCGCACCAGCCAGCCCCAGTCAGACCACATCACAGTGTCGGGGGGTAACCGTGCGACTGTGGGCCATCCAGCGCGTGCCGGCACGGCGAGGCCACTGGGTGTGGGGGAGCCCGCTAGCGCGGTGAGCATCGCCAGCGAAGAGGTAGAGGGGGAGTGCACTGGAGTGGTGGTGCCGCCAGGCGAACCGGACCCGATCAGAGGGTCTCCAAGAGCACAAGTTGGGCTGAACCTCTCGGGGCACGTGGCGTAGGTACGGGCGATGCGATGTAGTCGCAGAGCGGTGTGGGGGGGGCGGCACAGTGAGAGACAGGAGGGCCGTCAGACGCAGGTCCGGCCACGCCAGCCGCAGGCACATCCTTCCCTGGCCCCGGGCCCGCCAACGAACGCCACGTGGCCCTCCAGGGCCGCACCGGACCGCCGAAGGGGGGGGACACCAGCCCCAAACAGCGATGGGCGAGGGCGGCCCTGGGAGGGGGGGCGCCACCACCAACAGCCGACGGAACGTCGGTGGCCCCCGTGGCCAAGTGCGGGGGACACCCGCCTGGCTCCCGCGGTGGGAGGCGGGGGGAAAGCCGCCTCTCACATGGGACAGGCCCCCTCACACGTGGGATAGGGGAAGTGGTTGGTCCAGGGGGTCGCAGCTGATCGCCGCTCAGGTCAGTGAATAATGGGTGGGTCCATAGAGGTTGGTCCTCGGGGGTCGCAGCTGATCGCCGCTAGAACCGATATTGCCAAAACTGCGACCTGAACAGGTCGACCCGCTGGCGCGTGGGGGTGTGTGTTCCCGCGGCCGTCCCCCCGCCACCGGCGGGTGGGTGGCTGTCGTCGTCGGACAGGCAAAGTGGGTGAGCCCGGGACCTGTCTGTCCTGCGGGCGGGCCCCCTGTCGTGTCAGGGGGGGTGAGCTGTCGGGTGCTGGGAGGGACCCCCCCCGCGCTGGGCCCGAAAAGGATGGTAGGTCCACTTGTCCAATGTGGGCTGTCTAGCTATGCTGCGCCGAGGATGAGATGCCGGGCAACATGCGCCCCAGCGGAGGCTGCCCCTAGGCATTACGGCCTGAGCCGGGCGCGGCGAGGTGAAACTGGCCCCTTAGGGGCAAGAGGAGCGGGTAGGGAGGGACAGGTTTCGTTGGCCAGGAGCGCCAGAGGTGCTGAGGCGGGTAGAACCCGGCACAGTCAGCCCTGGGTGTAGGAGTCGTCCCTTGCCCACCAGCGGGCGCGCTTGTCCGAGTACCGGTTGTCCCCCCTAGGGGAGTACCGCTTGCCCTTTCCCTTCCAATCTGTGTCCGTCCACTGGGCTTCATGCCGATCCCACGAGTCACATTCCCGCCAGCCCTGCCACTGGCTGGGGCTGGCTGGCTGTACCGATGGCTCCGGCCCAGCGGTCCTGTGTAGCCGCGGGAGCGGCCGCTCTGTCCTCAGCTGTCCATGGGGCGGGCCTGCTGTTGCTGTCGTAGTCGCGCTGAGCGTGTGCACGTGAATCGTGGCGCATGATTTTCGTGTGCTTGTCCCTGACTGCTGCCCAGTTGACGTTGAGCCCGAGCCCACTGTCCATCTTGTAAGCATCGTGCCCTGCGTCGCTCCAAGCCTCGAGGAATGCTGCGCACGTCTGGACCGTGTTCAGATTGGGGTTGCTCTTATGGCCCCCGCTGGGCTCCTGTCTCAGGGCAGCCCGCTTGACCCATGCGCCCCATATGCCATTGAACGCTCCTCCCAGCGTCTTTTGTAGGCGTATAATATTGTCCTGCACTGGTTCGTACTGGTGGGGATATTTCCCCACATCCTAAGTGGGGTTCTTGTTTTCTCTGCACACCCTCCGCGCAGGATCTCCTCCTCCTCCTCCTCCTCCCTCTCCTCTGCTCCTCTTTGCTTCCTCCTCCGCATCATCATCACCATCACCATCACTTCCCACTCATCAGCATCATCATCATCACCATTAGCAGCACCATCACCATCCAACGATCACTCACCATCATCGGCATCGAACGATCATCATCATCATCATCATCATCATCATCATCATCATCATCATCATCATCATCATCATCATCATCACTACTCGCTGACTTGAGGCCTGAATATGGAGGAAGTATCAGGCGGTAGCCTCGTCGGTGAGTGAATTGCGAGGAAGTCTCAGGCGGGAGCCCCCTCCCTATAGGGCCAGCACTTCATGTTGGTAATCCGAGCGGGTCATCTGAAACGTGTAACTGTCGTCACTTTTGGGCTCCTGAGGCCTGAATATGGAGGAAGTATCAGGCGGGCGTCTCGTCTGTGAGTGAATTGCGAAGAAGTCTCAGGCGGGAGCCCCCTCCCTATGGGGCCCGCACTTCACGTTGGTAATCCGAGCGGGTCATCCGAAACGTTTAACTGTCGTCACTTTTGGGCTCCTGAGGCCTGAATATGGAGGAAGTATCAGGCGGGAGCCTCGTTTGTGAGTGAATTGCGAGGAAGTCTCAGGCGGGAGCCCCCTCCCTATGGGGCCCGCACTTCATGTTGGTAATCCGAGCGGGTCATCCGAAACGTGTAACTGTCGTCACTTTTGGGCTCTTGAGGCCTGAATATGGAGCTGAAGAAAAAGTTGGGGCTCGTGCAGGAGCAACGGGCCACCATCGTGCCCTTCGAGTTTCACGCAGACGACGAGCGGGACTACGAGGAGTGCGCGCCGGGCCAGGTCTTCCGCCCCCGCTACCTACCGCAGGGAATCTGGCTGCAGGCGCACGGCTTCCAGGAGTCCCCGATCTACAAGGAGGTCGCCGAGGTGCTGAAGCAGCGCGCCGATGGCGCTGGCGACGACGGCGAGGCCGAGGCGCGGGCGAGGAGCTTGCTCATGTTCAGGCCCAGCGAGCAGGAGTTCACGTGGCAGCTCGGGGGCGCACACTGTGCGCCGCTCGGGGTTCACCCTGACGCATGCGTCCTACCTGACCTCCACGCTGTCGCAGGGCCAGACGCTGCGCAAGGGCGTCACCATCGACTGCGCCAGGGATGAGGACGCTGGCCGCGCGGGCATGTCGGACGAGATGTGGTGGCTGCACCTCTACGTCATGTTCTCCCGCGCCACGTGCATGCGGAACGTGCTGATCCTGCGGCCGCCCG